GTGCACGTGAGCCCCATTATAGTAACTTCTGTATTGTTAGACAGGCATAGCTGAAAGGTCAATATAATAAAAATATATACATGTATAATGTTATGAGATTTAAGCTATTTAGTCTAAGCATTTATGTTTTTGTGTTATAATTTGTGCTCATTCTAGAATGAAAGAGGCATAATGCATATTTATTTCCTAATTTTTATGGTGACTACAAGATCAGTCAGATCCACTGAACTTGTACAGAGATTCATTACTGAAAATAATAGATAAAATATAAAATTTTTTCTTAAGAAATGTTTGATAACTATCTGGACATTATAAAGATTTCGCATGTCAAATTTCAAAATTTTCTGGTTGCATAAAAGTATTTTTAATCTTAAAGTGATTATTACTTTGCATAATAGATAAGCAATATGTAAAAAGAAAAAAAAAAGACATGAGAAAAACATTGTTTTATAAATCTTAAGACTCAATAAAAAAATTGATATTTTGCATATGAATGCATTGTAATGTTTACTGATAATCTGCCAAATTTCGTTAACATTTGGTTACTAATTTAAAAGTTATAGCATGAAAACTAAACCACAAATTGGTTACAAGGTTGGTCCCAAGGACAAAGCCCATGCTGAAAGAGTTAACAGTAATAATACTGTACAAGAGTAAAAAACTAATTACATCACCAAACACATACCCGTTTATTTTATGATGTGTTCAATGAAATATATTAAATTAATCAAACTTCAAAGTAAAGTAAATGCACTCTGAGCTTGTTCATAAACTTTGCATTAAAGTATGATAAAGATCATGAAATTATGTTTTCATAACATCACATGCTACTGTAGTAAATACCCCCCCCCCTCAAGTGTTATAGCAGATAATGTATAATCAGCACCTCTGATAATAATTCTAATATTTAAGTGCATAAGATCTTCACATTAGACATCTGAATGTATTTTGTCAATATTTGACATAGTTTGTCATTTAAGTTTAATACTTGGTTCGCAATTGCTGAATGCTAAAATATTGCATTTGGGTTCAGCGCTTGTAAAAGTGAATGGTCCACACCCATCTTGTTATCATTCATGTGTTGACCATTTGTTGTAATGTGGATGATGAAATTATTTTCCAGTACAGGTTTTACTGTCTAACATGTAACAATTTTTTTACAACTTTAGTACAAGAACCCTTCATTGATTTTAGTCCACATATTAAGAATTACGCACTTCAAGCAACTTGCATCTTAAATTTTAGAATGGTGAAGTTTTGTATTCTGTTGAAAGTAACTTTATCTACACTGTATAAAAATTATAATATTTGATAATTCATGCATGTAGGTTTCTGTAATTTAAAATAAATTATCTTCTTGGTCATTCACTTGTGAGCAAACATTTGTCAAATAAAAATATTGTAACACTTATGTTGTAGTTCAATTTGGTTCATTTCACTAAAATGACTTTTATATATTTATTATCATCATCACTTGGAGATGAAGACTTCAAATCAGCTAAATAATTTCCAAAATAAAATCCTAAAGGTTTGGATTCAATACTGAACATTAAATCTATACATGTATAAACTATACAAACTATATAAAAGTAATCAACATATACCTCTCTCCTGTGCTTCAGTATCACTTTCAACATTCTCTCCATCTGAATCACTCTTTGCTTTTTCGTCTTTGTCATCATCTGATTCTCTCTCCTCTTGTTCTTCATCATCTGAATCTTTCTCCACTACCTCTCCTTCTTCTTCTGACTGATCTTGCTCACTTCTCACCTCTCCTTCTTCTGGGTCACTTCTTTGTAACTCTTCCTCATCACTTGCTACAGGAGATAGATGACCATTTGATCCTCCATCACTGTTGGCTTCTCTTTCTTCAGGTTCTTGTTCTTCCATTTCAGCATCAGATTGTGATGCTTCTGACCTAACAAATTCCTTTTGAAAAGATGTTTAACTATAATTTCTGTGGTTGCCTAGGTAAAACTAATAATAATACTTTATTGTTAACAGTATTTAAGGTTTCTAGTTTTTGATTATTTTACCTTTATTAGAAACTTCTACACGCACACGAACAAGCTTCTAATGAAGGAAGTGGGTTAAAGTTTTACTGATTACACTTAAAAAAATACATACACATACATCAAAAAGAAGTCTCATGTCTTCAAGCAGTCTTCATAACCATTTGAATTATGTTATTTTTTTAATGTATTAATTGCTTAAAAAACAACATTTCTATTGCAGAGTTGATCACAATATTAAATATAATATATTTTGTTTAAGATATTAATTAGTGGCTAAAACTTGAGTAGAATCCTTACCAAGGTACTATGGCTGAAACATATTGTTAAAAATTTCCTAAGTTAAATTGATTACAAAAAAAATTAAGGTACATATTTTATATAAACCTAAGTACATTCCTATTCTAGTTTAATGATTAGGTAAGACAGCATGTCAGAGAGAAGAATGTTTTTGCAGCATTTACTAATTTATACTTATTCTAAAATGTTAAAAATGAGCTTAATGCTAAATAAATTCAAACCTTACTGAAAGATATTCTTAATTTCCAATTTAGAGCTGGGCAAATTGAGCTGATTAGTGCCATACAAGATAATCGGTTATTCAATACTTATGATTAATTGTTGCCAGGAAAACAACTATTCAAAATTTATGATGCTGATTATCACTGTTTTCATTTAACTCAACTATCTGAGTAATCAAAATACTGCCTTTATATATTTGCTTAATCCAAGTTTGTTCAGCTTAATTAATTAATGTCACAAACACTGTAATTAAATAATAAAAATTAGTATATTTCTGATTATTACAAATATCAGAGTAATCAAAATACTGACACACAACTAGCCACACTGATGTGCGTGTGTGTTTACTTTCGACTAAATAATAGTGTAACTTTAATATATTGCTTATTTCTTGCAAGCTACAAACATAATGAGCTTTAGTTAAGATTGCTTTAAAAAAAAGTTATGGTAAGCTAATAATCATTGTTCTTTATTTGCTCAGAAAAAAAACAAAACTGTTTGCTGAATAACTTACTCATTTAATTGAGTTTGTCAACATTTACTAGACATGGACTACTAAAAATTTGTCATACTGTTTAGTTGTCAGTCCATTTACATGAACAGGATTCCTGTATAATAATGACTAGCTCCAGATAAATATGGATACTGAAAAGAGAAAACACTGCCTAGTACAATTAGTTTTAAGTTATTTATTCACTAATTTTTTAGCATGTTCATGTGTTTCTACAGTTTCTTCCAGCTTGTGTTGTAAAATGCAAATGTATTTATCATTTTGATGTATTCTAAATTTCTGTCAGTATCAACAACTTTGTGCTTGAAAGCTTATGATGTTTTTTATACATTTAATTTCACCATTAAGTTTTTACATTGATGATAGAATTAAAGAAAAATCCTACATCTGTAGTTAAAGATTTTTTATATAATCATAAATTCAACATTTTTTTAAATATAATTTTCACCTTATGAATCATTTTAATTACTGCAAAGATGTAATTTAGTATCACAAGAGTAAAAGTTTTACTCTCTTTGTTTTTCTGGGATCAGAGGAAATTTATTTTCACCAAATTATATATTACCTACTGTACATTGTGACAAGAATTATTACTAATTTATTACATAAAATCTAAGGACAATTATTTTTAATGAAGAATTAGTTCACTTACTTTCAGTAGAGTTGTCTTGTGAAAAGTTGTATGGAGAAACCCATTGAACAAATATTACTCATATTTTAAACTTGTTATAGGTACTATGTTACACATACGATACATTTCTATATACAACAGTTTACAATTGAAAAACTAACTTAATCATAAACTATTGTACCTGATGGTGCTAAACATATTAAACAAAGGATTATTCAAACATGTCTTTAAAAAAAAATATGAAAATGGGAAGATTATTCTTATGCGAGAATAATTTATTAATGAGTCCATCAAGTGGGAAACTTCACTAAAAATTATCAAAACAAATGAAATTCTAACTAACCTGTTGACCTTCACCATCACTTTCAATTTCCATGGGTCCACTGTCTCTGGATCCTATAAAAATGAGCAAAATCAAAAGTTTGTTTGTTTTTGAATTTCGCGCAAAGCTACACGAGGGCTACCTGCACTAGCCATCCCTAATTTAGCAGTGTAAGACTAGAGGGAAGGCAGCTAGTCATCACCACCCACCGCCAATTCTTGGGCTACTCTTTTACCAACGAATAGTTGGATTGACCATCACATTATAATGCCTCTATGGTGGAAAGGGCGAGCATGTTTGGTGGGACATGGATTTGAACCCGCGACCCTCAGATTGCGAGTCGAGCACCCTAACCACCTGGCCATGCTGGGCCTAAATTAAAAGTAAGAATAACTTTCAAGAAAAAATCCATCATTTACACAATATCATGCATTTTAAAATGTATATTTATAATTGAATAAATATCATTATTTCAAAGATTATCACAATTTGAATACTAAGAAAAGATTCCTTTTTAGATATTTTAGTTCAACATGATCAACCAGAAACTAAGTGCTGATACTATCTTCACCAATTTCTACTGGCTTCTGCCATTACATCACGTTTAGGCCAACTATTAAATGTCAAAAATGATAAATTAAGCCTCAGTTAGAGTGGTGGATTTTATATTTTGTAAACCTAAAATATATATCAATAAGACTACTTGTTTCTGTATCATTACATTCTATGTAAAGCATTTAGCTACTCAAGATGAGAATTATTTTTACTGATTTCTCTTCCCTAAACAGCAGCTTCTTTTGACTTTCTTTAGCCTCAAGTCCAAAAGAGCTAAAGTACAAGTATGTGACATCATATTTAATATTATGCTGTGCCACTGCTAACTAAAGACCTTATGAGAAATGATCCAAAGCCACTTGCCTGGACATATAACCATCATGTAACAAAGAAAATGACAAACCTACTTATCTCTCATCACACAATAGCCATCACTTCCTCTAAAGACAAAGAGAAACCTGATGGCATTGTAGTTATTTGTCCTGTGTGGACGATTCTTGTTGTCACACTCAAAACAAAATGGAAGTTACTGTCACTAGTGAATTCATAATGTGGAAGTAAAAGGCCATACAATCTGCAGGTGCAGAAATTTTGAAAATGAAAATACAAATTTAATCTTTCCACAACAGTGGGTGTTTTTTAGATACTTCCACAACAAAAGCTCATAAGTCAAAAAAAAAAGAAAAGAAATGTTTCTACATACAAGTGCCAAATTGAAAAATGATAACTGAACAATCATTATAGTGGGAGTCAGCTGCCTTAGGAGGCTGTATTGCAATCTTATTGGTGGAGGATTGTCACATGCTCATTTGCATACAACGACGCAACAATATCAAAAGGAGACAAGTGAATTTAGGTAAGAGCTTCAAGGCTAGTAGCAAGTGAAAATATTTTGCATATAGAGGGCAGAACTGAATAAGGAAAGCTACATGTGAGTAGAGGTTGCTTTTCATACCAGAATTTCATTTTTATTTGCAATTATATATTTTTCTGGATAGAGATATGTATTCTATATGGTACAATCATAAGTACAACTTAATCAGTAAAATACACTGTATGATGCTGTCCTTAGAGAGCAATGTCACAAATGGACAATCTAGTAATTGATCTTGAATTACGTTATCTATTCATCAAGGTTCTTTGTTGAATGTGGATATTTTCTAGCTTTCAATACATGTTTTTATTTTTTGTACGTATATTGTATTTCTGTTATAGATAATAATCGTCAGACAAAACTAACAGCATAAAACAATGCTTAATGGAGTATTTCTAGTGTTCTACTTAATACCAGTCTCATTCATATGAACAGTGATGACAAGTTATCCCTTTCCCACAAAGCTAAATAAAAAATCAGGTGAGATATAATTATTATAATACTAAATTATCAAAAATAACCTCTGATTACAGCAAGCTAATTAAGTTATCATAATTAAAATTAATTAATTAAATAATGCACACAGGATAATTCCACCATTACTCTAGTTACAATTTTAGCCACTTTTAATGCTTGCACCTCTTTTAGATCTATGTTATTCACTAAACCCAGCTGTTGTTGTTATATGACAATTTATGACCACAAGATACATAACCACACATCTAAATTATGAAAACTAGCAGAAATGCCACCTTACAGGTGGATGTTTGTGCCAGTAATTACTAATCGTAGTATTCACACTTCATTGAAAAAAATTTAGGAAAAGTGAACGTTTTCTAAAAAAAAGGATTTTTCTGGAAAGTACTGTATGGGAAAACTGTTCGGATTTTGCTGATATAAACTGTAATGTTTTAAATATTAAAGTCGTAACTTAATTGAAAAAAATGTTTTTAGTACTATATTTACAATTTACATCAATAAAGATATAATCAAGCCCTCATATACAGTCCTAGTGAAAGTAATGTTCTTGTTGTGAGGAGAGTACTTTTATTTAAAATTGTGTTCTGTGATAAAGAAATGATTGTTGCATATACCATATATATTTTTCTAATAGTCTGACTCTTGAATACCCAAAATGGGAAATTTTTTGTGGATTTTTGCTTGTGGTGCTAATCAATAGATGGCACCATATTGTATGTATTATTTTGGTCACCTATATAGATACATATATATATACAATCTACATGCATTATAATAAAATGTTAATTTACTTTTCTCTGGCTTGCATTCTGTTAACCATTACTCTGATTACACCATAAAATAGTATGTTGTTTTAACTTGCAAATATCCATAGAATATCAGTAAAACAATAAATTCAAATTATATACTGCATTAGCAAGGAATTACATAACATTACATAAGATCTATCTACTGACATTATAATACCCCCCCCCCCCCAAGGTAAGATGAACTTATTTTATCACTCTGCATAATCCTGTTAATATTTTTTGCTTTACTTTTTTTACTTAACATTTGAAAATAAATAACCAAACTCCTTCTCCAACTTGTAGACTTTCTCCTCTCAAAATAAAAATTACATGAGTTACCAGAATCAAACAAGTTTCTCCTTGAAAGTATCTATTTTATTCAAAATTACCTAAACAAACAAACAAACAAACAGAAATGATGCAAACAGATACAGTGGGTTAGCATATACCAAGACAAAGCTGTGGAATAAATGGGGAAAATAATGCATCTACATGGTCAAAATTTCACCCTATCATCAGAGGAAAGCAAAAAAAAACAGCTTTGCTCTGCAAATTTATAAGCCTTATATGTGTTTAACTTTGAACAGGATCATATCAGATGTTAATAATATTATCTGAATCAAGCTGACACTTGCTGGGAGGTCTCCAATTACGTCTCTATGATGCCTATCAAGTTATAAGCATTAAAACCATTATAGAAAGATGTTTAAATTCAACATTATATTTGTATTTCCAATTTGTATATTTTGTTGACTTTTTTTTTTCGTATGAGTGCTTAATCTGTGTAAAATGTGGAAAAGTACAAAACAATTTTGTAGCATTTTACAACTGTACATGTTTGTGCACATGAATAATTTGTGGTTTGTTATTGTTAGTATCAGTTCATTAGGGGAGAAAATTCCACAGTATTTATCTCAATAACTATTTATTAACAGCTTCCACAACATTACGAGCTACAAGTTCCATGATTTCATTCTGTGAGACTCAATTGCAGTATTTATTATGGACATGTGAAAAAAAACTGGGGGTTGTGTTTCGATACCAGCTAAAACAATTCCATAAAGTTACCTTCATGAGCCTCAGTGTCCCTGTATGCCAAACCTTGCTTTCCAAAATATCTAATAGCACCAAAAATCACCTCAAGTGCTTTCCTATTTGCCTTCTGTTGTTCAACTTTTTTGCTGCTAATAAACTTTGCCGTTGCATCTTGTGTTTCAATATTGATTTTTATAGTTATGCATTCTCTGTGACTCTGACTTTTGTAGACCATTCTTACTCTTTCTAAAATCATTCCATCCTATTACCCATGGAAATATGGTAACTGAGGAATGCTGAAATGGAAGTAAGTGATTACTTTGCGTGGCCCACATACACACATGGCAAATTATATCATTCATATCACACTTGTATTCAACCCATGGGAAGAGGTTTTTCCAACTTTCCTGGAAAGTTTGGCCTTTTTGCTGCTAATGTCTTTGTTATTACTGTGAATGTTAATTCTGCTCATTGTGACGTTGATACTGACAGGTTCATTGTTACTGAAGCAGATGTTGATTTTGCTCATTGTGGTGTTAATACTAGCAGGTTTTTTGTTACTGAAGTGGATGTTGATTCTGCACAATGTGATGTTAATATTGGTGGGCTCATCATTAGTGAAGTGGATGTTGATTCTGCACATGACGCCAATTTTACTGATGCTACCGGCTTTAGAAATGGTGTTAAAACTGCCTGTGAAATTTTATGCTTCTTTGGAGGATCCATTTATCTAAAAAATTAGACAAAACTATTGGTAACATTTTGTGTTGTGGATAATTTAAGAGATGGTATGTGCATGAAGCTATAAAAATAGCTATTAGGTTTAACATGTCTTGGTATGACTAAGCCTCATATAGTAGGTATATAATTGAAATCTAAGTTTTTAGTAGGGTTGGTAAATTGCTAAAACTTTCTATAATATTCATAGTGGTAATTATTAATTGTGATTTAATATCCTACATGGTACATATAAGTCATTACACTTTTCTTTAACATTGTCTAGCCAATAACATTTTCTGGTGTGGTCATGGAGTGTTTTCGACCACTGCTGTAATAAATATCGAAAAAACACAGAGCACAGGCAAATTTAGGGGTATAAAAACAAAAAAAAACATCATTTACACTCTTCTATAATAGCTGACTTACATAAAATATAAAGAGAATCATAAACCTTGTATATAATTTGGTGGGTCTAACACTGCATTGAATTGTAATATTGCATATATAGAATTACATAACAGTTTAAAAATTGATCTACAGAAGGAAAGAACTCACTTTATTGTGAGCAGATGGCAAAAGTAAAATGAAAGTAAATGGCTTTCTTCGAGTGATATAACCTTCTCTGGCCATGCATCCTTTACTGTGCATCACAAGAAGTGATGGTTTGGTATAGGAGCATAGAAGGAGGCGTATGCATCTTGTGAGCATGTCATGCTCCTATTGGTGAGGAGGTAACACATGATGATTTGCATGAGAGACATGTTGAAGCGGAAGGTTTGTAGCATGAATAAAGAAAAAGTTTGCATATAGAGGGCAGCACTGAACGAGACTATCTAATCTTGTGAGAAGAAGTAAGTACAGTATCAGAAGACTTAGACCTACTGCATTAGTTAGCTAGGGTTAACATTGGTTATGACCATGTGCTATACTGTTGTGTAAGCCTAATTAACTGTTTATTAGCATTAGCTTACGTTAGAAATTATGCAAAAAAATACTAGTAGTAGTATTGTTTGGAAATAGAATGTTTACCTTATGTTATTGTCAGATATAAAAAGACTGTTTAGTGTAGGTAATAATATTAATTTACTTATTTTGTGTTTGTAATTCATTGATGTTGAGGCTATGGAGATTTCTGGAAGGACTATGTGATAGACGTATAAATAGCTGCGACCAAATGAGCAAAAGAGAAAAAAAATAAAGTTATGTGAAAGAGAAGTTCGGTCAGAGAAAAGTTAGAAAATGTAAAGTTAACCATCATGGGAGTGAATGGCCTAATGAGTGATATGTTAGAGTGAGATTAACAGTTTGAAAGAGATAAGGAGAATAATTTGTCTTGTCAAAGAGTGTTCTAAACTAATTGAATCCACCTGTGTGAACTTTGACAAAAGGCAGACAATTATTCTCCATCAAATGCATAGGGTAGTCGTTTTGAAAGAGTATGTTTTGTATAGAAGTAATTTTTTCGTGAATGGCTAAATAGAATGAGGTAAGTTTGTAGGCTCTATTTAGTAGACAAGAGAATAAGCCGTAAGATACCCACTCTACCCAAACTTCCATTATACATCCGCTTACCATATCTCAGGAGACAGAGCTCCCTTATCATGACACAAATTATTTGGAAAGTAATTGTTTTTAAACTTGAGTAGCACTAAAGCACATCAAAGTGAGTTACACAAGTATAAAGATTTGATGTAGTTGTTTTGTTAAAAATGTTTGGGTATACCTTTAAAGAACTCTAATAACAGAGTGGATACTTGGATCTCTATCCAACTGTTCAGTATGTTACCTTTGTTGATTAATTAGGACACTGATATATGTATTCCTTCCATTTCTAAAATAGTACCCAGAAAGTTTTGAATATATTGTGTACATACAAAATACTTATATGTACCTGAAGGGTCTGTTTTTTTTACTCTTCATAGTAAGTATTAAAATAATTCTATTTAGAAATTAAGTATTCCAGGTTCCTTATTTTTTGCACTAACTTTACAAAGAAATTTTGTTACAAAAGTATAAATGAAAAAACAAATAAAACAATTATGATATCACTTAATAGAAATGTTATAATCAGCAGTCATGAGGTAATAATTGTTCCTTTGTTAGGAATACTTAAATTTCATATACAATCTTAAAAGACGAAATTGATGGGACCTACAATATATAAATTTTTGATAAAACATTCATTATTTCTTGAATGTGGAAGAAATGCACCAGTGCCATAAACAGCTAAAAAGAGGACTGAACAAACAATATAACATTTCACCACTTTTAACATAGCGTCATCTGAAGATATCACATTAAACTTTGTGAAATGTTGTACTGTGGTTCTTTTTTGTTTCATTTTAATCTCCTTTTTGGTGTTTATACTTTAACTTTTAAAGTATATAAGATACCTATTTTACACAGCATAATCAGTGTTTCTGTTCTGTTGCCCATGTACACCCATAAATGCTATTTCATGAGTGATTTATGACACCTAGTTCTTTTGCACATCACAAAAAAGTTTTAGGAAGGATAAGAACAGTATAATATTATCACATTTATTGGAAATAATTGTTTGTAAGATCATGCCAACGATTTTAGTGATATGATAACACGGTAACCATAACTATAACCTCCACTGATCCTGTTGCTATGCATATGCACAATGCTTTGATTGGTTTTTTTTGTTTGCCCACAGTTGACTACGTGATTTTACATGCATTCATTATATTTTTGCCTGTTGTATCATATAGTTCATTATAAACACTTTATTGAAATTATATGAAGTAAATGTGACAATTCTTTATAAATTTAAAATAACAGATGTGTAACTGACACTTTTACCATGGCCTAACTGTACCAACTAATATGTGCTACTTTTTTGCTTCACGGGTTGGCTATATGTGTAACTTTACTCCTTACTAATACTAGTGAGTAATATGTAATTATCCTCTGCAATATTCAATTTCATTTTTAAACATTTTACTAAGTCTTACAACCAAAACTGGAAAAAAAAATGCTAACAGCCCCATTTTCAAGCACAAAGCACCCCATAATAATATGTAATGACCAATATAAATTGATAGAGACCCACGTATGTACCAAGTTTGTTACCACTCGGAAAATTACTTGAAAATGAAATATATTATATAGAATTTTAGAACTTATACTGTTATAGAGCTGAAGACTGGGTTAACAAGTTAGTTAGATAATCTGGAAATCAAATATAACAGTAGTAACAGTAACACAGTAGGAACACTTTTTTGGTTTTACTTTCATAAATACCAATAATACTAATATTAGCAATATACGTATCGTGTAGTTTCATCAGGGTAGTAGTAGTAATAGTAGTACAAAGTTTAGAATTTCATATTCTTGTAAGTTAAGCCTAGTTCATTTTAACTGGTAATAACTGTAACACTATTGTACAAGGATCTACAACACAAGCGTACTACGTTACACAGTAAAGTGAGTAAGTATAGTTAGGCCTATTCAGTAGTAACAGACTACTGTACTGGCAGTGGTATTGTAAGTGATAGTATTCGTAAGTAATTTAACATTATTATTAATAAATACTACATTAGGAACTATCGAGTCTCATAGTCACTGATTCAGTGATTGAAACTTACCTTCATTCTCCATTAGATATTCAGCTATTACTTATAATTAAAAAGGTAATACAGTCCGCAAGAAAGAACTATTAATTACTAATAAGAAATGTATTTATCTAAGAAGCACTGAGTTTACAATAAACAATTTAAATCCTATTTAGTAAATGACGATACTTATTTCTGTGCAGGTTTTATTATTTTTTGTTTCTACAATATGCCTCGTCCTCTAGTGCTAAACTTGTTAAAAAAATGGAAGTAAAAATTCTTAAACCGTTAAATAAATACGAAAAAATATAAGTTATTTGGTAAAAAAATTAAATTTGAGGAAATGAACATATTTTGACGAAAATGTACAATCTCTGGTAATTTAGAAGATTTATTAGTGAGATAAAAACAACCAGTAAGATCTTAAAGTTAAGAGTAAGCTTTAGTATCGCAATTAATTTTGTCAAATAATTAACTGTAATTTTTGTGTTCATGTTTTGCAAAGACATCTGCTGAATTTATGTTACTGTTTGCTGGTTTTGTGGTGATCTTTAAAAGCAATTGACTCTTCAGATAGACCAGCCCCTCAGTGGCACAGCGGTATGTCTGCGGACCTACAACGCTAGAAACCGGGTTTCGATACCCGTGGTGAGCAAAGCACAGATAGCCTGTGTAGCTTTGTGCTTAATTCCAAACAAACAAGCAGATAGACCAAGATTTGACTTGTAAAAGCTTATTGCAGACACCGTGGTACCTCTGGCACAGTCAGTTATTTAATAGACCTAACTTCAACTTAACATTAAACAATAATTATAACAGACAGATTAACTAACAAATTCATTAACTCAGTATTCAGTCATTAACTGAATTCACGTGTTAAGTTCACTGACTATCTCAATAGTCCACTGTAACAGATTCACAAATTAATAACTCATTAATCCACGTTAACTAACTCGTATTTTATAACGTTCAAATCGGTTCCTAAACTTTCAAGAGGATTCTAGAATCTAGATATACAGTCAATTTACCCTCTGGCTAAACTACAATAAAATCCTATAATCTGAAAAACATAACTTTCAAAAGTATTCTTTACTGATATTTAGCTAGATGTTCTCTTAGTTTCCAACATCAATCACTGTATGTGATATTTGTTCTTCAGTTCATGGTTTACATTCTATGTGGTATATGAATATCGTCTGTGTTTCTATCTTTTTGTAATGTTATGATATTTATTATTGTGAATATGTGCTGATTTCACATGATATGTGATAGAGAAAATTGTTAAGTTGATCTTGTTCCAAGCTTCCTTTGTTTCTTTGTTGTTCTCTAAGTTGGTACTACAATACCTCTTACTACTAGAGGAGATCATTGCTTAGTACAACGTTGGGTAAATATATTGACAGCAGTATTCACCGGTTGTTCAGATGATATCTAAAGGTTATGTCTTCACCTATGTTATAATGAGAATGACCAGGCACATGGTAGTACATGTTTCTCTGGATAAATGCGAGGTTTCTTGGAAATTAAGTAACCTGGTATTCTGACAGTGTGGTACAAGCTCTCAAGAAAGATCGTTTAGAACTTTATCATGACTAAAGGTGTCAGAGAAATGCCATTTCGAGCAATTGTCCAACGTGAGAACTGCAAGTATACATACTATGTTTGTGTTTAGCGTATAAAATAGAGTGTACATTTTGTTCTACATTTATGTTCAGCCTCATTATTTTCTTTAACATCGACTCAGTTAAGTACTAATTTTAGTACTACTCTGTAATTTATACCTTAAACCAATCTTCCATAATTTAGTGGACCTATATGATAGTTTTAACAATAAAACAGTTTACCAGAATGTATCATATCTGTATAATAGTGACGTTTACTAGAGCTATTTCCTTTTAACTGTTTTAAAACCATTAACTTGAATTATTTGTGATACATTGTTTACACACAAATGTGTTCTTAGTAAACATACAAGTGTACAAAATTTATAAATAAAAAAAAATCAGAAAGTAGGAATGAGAGCACCGAAAAGTAAGGAAACAATGTAGGAATGGGTGGGATAACATCACAACACTTGATGGTTTTTGACATGGCACAACCTCAAATTGGATGTTGCCATCGTTCCGTCCACTACTTCTTCGTGTGCTTTTTGTAACTTAGTAATTGTTCAAAATAAATGAAAGTTGTATATAGCTAAATTTCTCTGGTGTAAACTTTCTTTCAGAAACCAAGTAGATGCACATGTGTGTAATCAAATTACATGACCCTAAGAAATGCATGACATCATAAAGGAGGGGGTGTTTGATGTTGGAAGTGAGACAGGAATCTCCAATAATCATACTTTACTTATGAGAACATTATAGATATCTAACTGGTAAGGGGCGGGCCAAAAGAATAGTATCAAAACTGCTGATTTTTGAAATTTTGAAATTCGTTGAGTATTTAGAAAGGATTAGCTATTGTTAAAACTCAATTAAAGTCTATATTTGGATTAAAGTTCAATGTAAGACACGAAGTAGAAATGGGTGGAACGATGACCACACCCACTTTGAGGTTGCACCTGTCTAAAATCACCAAGTGTTGTAATTTCCTATCCATTCCTACCTTGTTTTATTTGTTGTTTTCTTTTTTACTTTTTGGTGCTACCATTCCCACTTCCTAATTTTTTACACTTGTCTCAAAGCTTTTTGTGGTACCAAGGAGACAAACATTTTAGGCACCAATTGCTATGATAGAAATGCTTTGTTCAACACAGAACCCTCGAGTCAGATGTATAGAACTGAAAACTTCGTTTTTAAAGGTTAGATCATAGTTAAAACCTAGATCTAGAGAATCCACGTAGTCCACGTTTTCTTTTTTTTATTTAGCTGATACAGCTGCAGGCTGATCACGTAGCGCGTACGCATAAGCAATCGTGCACCCGCACGTGATATGAGGGTGTGTTGTTACTTGGCAACTCACAGAGTATGCTCGTAATCATAGAATGTGGCTACTAATGTATTGTTAGCTTGTTAGTAGAGTTGCAAAATGGTTATTGTTATTAGTTGTTATTACCAAGACTAAAAAAAACACAAGAAAAACGCTTTTAGCCAAGGTAGCGTAATTCAATCATTTGCATTTATGTTTGCATAAGGTGACAATGTTAGCCAGTCAGTCAGATTGACAAATTTATAGTTTTGTGAAATTTTTGTTTTACTCTACCGACTTTCTCAAGTGCTTCGATGACTTGTTACTTTGCAGTTGGTTTGTTTACTACTCAGCAGTATGTATAAAGTGCTTATAAGTGTTTGTTTACACGCTGTTTACAGTGTGTTCGAGATTTTAATTTGTATTACACATCTGATCCTTACCTACTATAAGCACTACCGTACTAATGATACTTTCAGACTTTTGTATATCTAGAAAGGAAATGTAGTTGAGTAGAAGTCTCAGTAATGCACTTTAGTTGATATCTTGAACAAATCTACCCAATAACTCTAATGATAATTCAGTTCACCTGAATATACAATCTATGTAAATAAACGTCAATATGTGTGTGTATATCTGTTCCTTATACGTTTCCACATTTCTTGATCAATCTGCACCAAATCTGACACAGTGATACAGGATGATATGAGGAAGGTCATGAGGGAGGTTGGACCCCCTCTCTAATTTTATATTGATAGAATTCTTGAAAACAGTGTGTCTTTCTCTTTAGCATTTGTACCTTTATGTATTTTTATTGCACTTTTAATGTTTATTATGTTAAGAAAAAAATAGAAGCGCAATTTCATATCCTTTATTACAACAAGCTTTCATTTCACCCATCCAATGGAAGGATACTCTAGCTATCTGTATGAATAAACCTCAATATGTGTGTCTATATCTGTTCATTATAAGTTCCCAATTTCTTGATCAATCAGAACTAAATTTGACACAGTGATACAAGATGACATGAGGAAGGTCATGAGGAGAAGATTCGACCACCATCTAATTTCATATATAATTTCGGAAAACTATCAAATAAGCACAACTTGACACAGTGATACAGGATGACATGAGGAAAGTTACCAATTTGTTACGTCTCTGTCTCCCCCACTGCTTCGACTCCGTCTGTCTCTCTCACTGTCTAGCGCACTTATATACGATAATACTGCCTGTTCTAGAAACTTCTAAGACTCTCAACACGTGCTACCAGCGTCAACTGACTTCCGCTGTCGCAATACACTAGCGAATCTTCTAGAATATTCGTCAAGTGACCCCCACTGTCGTAACACT